ATATTTGGTCATTTTGTTGCTGCCATAATGGTTTTAATTAACTTCCCGTAGGTAAGTTATAGTAATCGCAAAAAAATCGAAAATGAAAATTTTTTGCATTTCTCGACGTTTCAAAACCTTCTGAACATTTTGGCATACCTTAGAAAAAATGGATGTATGTGTGTGTGTGTGTGTGTGTGTGTATGTATGTGTGTATGTATGTGCGGATACAAATTTTCGTCGACGATTTCGGGAACACGGATCAACCGATTTGAATAATTCAAAAACATTCGATTCGTATTGATAAGGAGAAGTGCTGATTAGTTTTTGGCGAAGGCAGGTCTAGCCGTTCCGAAGATACGGGGCAAAAAGTGCCAAAACGGTACCTCCGTTTTTAAGAGAACGAAGCGTCCGATTTGAATAATTCAAAAAACATTTCACTTGTATTGACAAGATGTAGAATTGATCAAATTTTCATGGAGGCAAGCCTAGCGGTTTCGGAGATCTAATGAAAAAAGTAAAAAAAAATGCCATTCGGCGGTTAAAAATGATTATTAGACATATGCACATCAAATTATCAGATATTTTATAGAGATTTTAACAATAAGTATAATTTTTTTTTACATTTTTATGGGTTCCGTACCAATGCTTATGCGTTAGACGGCGGCGCGGCACTTGCGAGCTTTGACATTTCGTCTCTATGCAGTTCAAGCAGTGCGATTGCTTTGAAAAAAAGTTCAGAATTTCCAAAATATGTCAAAATGAAGAAAACATTTTTTTAAGTAATTTTTTGTCAAATTTGTAGTTTCTCAAATCTATTTTTTTCGAAGTAAATTTTTTTCAAAAATGTTAATCGTTTTTAAAAAAATAATAATTTTTGGTACGGGAAGTTCCAGCAATTTGCCTTAAGGCACGATGCCCTAATTGCCTTAAGACAGAATTCCACTTACAGCTAGTTTTTCTATTATATTGTCTAATAATTCATTTATAAAATTTAAAGTAAAATAATCTATTGGATGTCTTACATTGCTTGGTATTTGTAGTCGGGTGTTTGTTGATGTCTGTCAAACTCGATTATTGAAGGGGATCGGCACATTCGCTAATGTCTTCCCGCTCTTCATTTATTTTGTCGAACTTCTTCTTTTTGTTGGTTGGATAATATCATTATCACATTCATCACTATCATCGGTTCGAATAGTAATTTCGTAAAATTTGTCTGTATGAATGCCTATTTGAAACTCTTCTTCACTACTGCTTAATTCACAAAATTTCGTCGTTTGCCATATTTAAAAGCGCTTGTACGTTTTAAATATTAAAAAAAGATCATATAGCAAAGAAAAAGGCTAAAAATACTACTAAAATAATTTAAAATTATTTTCAAAATACAATACTGTTTATCACTGCTATATGTAATTTATTCGATGCAAACTGAGTCATTGTTTATAAAATAGCATGTGCCTCACAGAGTAAGTTTGTCCACTGAAGGTGGACAGCGCCGTCCCCAAAGTGTTAAAGATATAGCTGTTTATGCGATTATGGAATTTAAAGATTAATTTGTTCCTAGAAATTTAAACTTGAGTGTAATATGTATCAAAAGCGCTTATGTAAAAATACCGAAAATACCGGTATTTTTAGGGTAAATACCGGTATTAATACCGCCGAAAATCGGGCGGTATACCGGTATTTCGTTATCCCGTTAAACCGGTATTGCATTCCCTACTTTAGAATATATGAAGGTTGGAGTTAAATATATTGGCAGCAGTAGTTACCAATAGAATAAACATTCATAAATTGGACTTTTTTTTAGTAATCTCAGTTGTCATAAAATGCAATCGTAGCTTTATAATATATAGCATATATTTTTCGCGTTTATTGGATGTCAAAAATAGCTTCCGCATTGCTTCCTGAAACCGCGCAGAGTAGACCATCATTGCAAAATTACATAATATCTCAAATAAGTCGATATATTTACTTTTGTTTTCAGACAAATTGTACAGAAAAATTCTGCAACAAAATTAATGCATTTCATTTACCCAGGTGCAGTGCATCATCATCAGCATGCTCAGCAGCAGCAACCTTATCTTGGCTCAACGGCGACTTCCGTAGTTGGCGTTAATTCGCCCATTGGGAGTGCTGCAGCAGCAGCGGCTGGCAAACAGATTGAAGGTTTGTTAAGGCTTATCGAAAAACTTGGACATTTCTAAGTTTAGAAAATTGCACTTTTTGAACAATTGTTCGACAAAAACCCAATGCGGTAAAATATTACACCTATCCGGAAACATGGAAACGGAGTTTCGAACTTTCTGTGAAAAATGATTTCTAAAACTTGGCGAGGATTATTTAGGGATGATAGTATTAAGAATGGTTTTATTACATCTTTAAACCAATAAGAAGGGAAGTAAAGCGGAAATTTAGTAAAAAATTTGTTTCTGTCTGAATGGTTTTAACCCTTTTGCTATGGGAGTTTTTTCCGGAGGTGTGACGCCGCTGTACGAGCAAGTAAACCACTCAAGGGGGCGTCAATTAAACATGTGAGCGAGTTTTTAAGGAATTTTTTACCACCCCCTCCCCCTTCGTGATACATGGTGATATTCAAAATTTCCACAAAACATTTCCACAAAACATTACGTGTATTTTTAGTTACATGAAAAACTAACATTTTTGATTTTTTTTTTGAAAATGTTTGAACTTTTTTAAATAAATTAGTTAAGAAAACACTTAATATCTCACCATACCCCTTCCTCTCCCACGTGATATTTTGTGATTTTTTGTCAGCTCCCCCCTCCCCCTAAAAACCTCACATGATTAATGGACGCCCCCCGAGTGTTTGTTACACTTTTTTCAGTTTTTCAGATCATTGTCAATAAAAATGTTATTTAAAAATTAATATACATAACTCCCGTATAACACTGTACTTTTATAACACGGATTTGCTATAACACGGTTGGAGAATTGAGACCATTCGCTATACCACGGGGTGAAAATTGAGCAATCTCTATGAAATGCAAACTTTATTTATTCTGAAATTAATAAAATCGTAAAATGGCTCAACAAATGTGAAGAAATCAGTGCAAAAGATAACTCATTTGACGTTTTTTATTCGGCGCATAGGTTCTATCGATAAAATGTCTTAATTAGTTCTTAAAGTGCTTAAAGAGTTATCTGAACAGTTAGTCATATTTGTTAAAGAAAGATCCTTTAAATGAAATTTGCACCGAGTTTCAATAGAGGTAACATTGCGTGTACTTTGTATTATCGAAGAAATCGCGAATACACATTTTTTTGCAAAAAATATACCATGGAAATGAAGAAAAATGTTCAGAATATGAGAATCTTCTGCTCTTCAAGAAATTGATCAAGTTGGATAGCACGACTTGTTAGTTATGACGTAAAAATATAAAATAAATTATTTAATGTGTAGTACTTCTTGAGAAAATTTAATATTTTTTTTTTATTCCTGGAACGTAACCCCTATTTTTACAGTAGTCCCGCATAGCATGATAGTTCTTTAGAACGTAAATACCGTGTTATGCGTGTAATTTCACTTCTAAAAAGCTAAAAAGTATAATAATAAATTTTAATTCTCAAAAATTTAAATCGGAGTGATAAATATTGAAGCAACACATGGGTCACTCTGCTTGTATGTAGGCGCTTGTAGCAAAAAGGTTAATATTACATATTCAAGATTAATACCAAAGTTTTAAATATGTATAACAGATAGTGACGAGTGAAATTTTACAAATTAATTTGGTAGGAAATTCCTGTTATAGGTATATGGTAGGTATTATGTTAGATTGATTTTGAATATATTTAACTAATTTATGATTATTGTACATTGTTGTGTGAATTTTTAATGCGAATAAAATTTATTTCGCATTATTTTTCAGGACCCGAAGGTGGCAATCTTTTCATCTACCACTTACCGCAAGAATTCACGGATACCGATTTGGCGTCCACGTTTATACCTTTTGGTCACGTTGTTTCCGCCAAAGTATTCATCGACAAACAGACGAATCTGTCGAAATGTTTTGGTTTCGTCTCCTATGATAATGCGGCGAGCGCTCAGGCTGCCATCCAGGCCATGAATGGGTTCCAAATAGGAACCAAGCGTCTTAAGGTGCAGCTGAAGCGTTCAAAAGAAGCGTCCAGGCCTTATTAAAAAGATTTAAAATTATAAACACACACGCGCGACCACACTTATGAAAAAATGCAGACTGGCTGCTAATTGTTTGCTCTGGTAAATGACCAACTGATACGTCTGGTACTTTTCTGAGTCATCGTCACCTCAAAATAATTTGGTCAAGTCTCGATTAAAATTATTGTACATATCCCTTTCATGCAATATTTTTTTTCCAAAATCCCAATTACTGCTACTCTCGTATACATGGCGAGTTGTTTCGTAATCATTGTCGTGTATTACCAAAAATGACATTTTATAAATCAATTAAAAAATCGCAAATTTAAGAAAAAATCCACCAAGTCAAACAACAAACAAAAAATGAGTTGCCGTTTTGCCTAAAAATAATTTATATTATCGGAAATAGGAATATTTCTAAATGCCGATTTCAAAGATTGTTCTAGTCTTCGCTAATGAATTGATAATGTATAAAAGTAATCTAAAAATAAAAGGCAAACGGGTGTCGAAAAAGCAATCATTTGGTATTAGAGAACTTAAAATGCGTTTATCTATTTCAAGATTCTTTGAATTTACATATGATTGCCATTAAGGTTTTGACCAAAAAAATAATTGATCCGCGAATTACTACTCTTTTCATAATCACTGATTACTTATATACGTGTAACGATTTTTTGTAAGAATGATTACTATGTACTTTTAATTTTTTGTCATAATATATAATTTAGAAAACCCAAATTGCATATATTTAATATAATTTATCTAGCTATAATTTAGATTTTTTGTTATATATTTAATTTGTTGTAATTGTTAATTTCTTTGTATTTATACGTGTATAACTTGCTATAATCTATTGCTGCATATAATCTATATTCATTTTCAAAACAATTTTATCTCAATTTTATTTAACTTAATAAAACAATGGGTTATTTTTCAGAGAAAAAATTTGCTTTTCTGGATGAAATGAAATTAGTTATGTTGATAAATTGGCTGTATTGGCTTATTTATATCTGATGATTATCTCTTTAATAATAGTTTTTTAAGTTGTACGGATTATTGTCTTTTTTTAAAATTAATTGCGACTTATTGTGAGAAAAGTATCCTGGCTTGCTTATAGAACATATATATATATATATATATATATATATATATATATATATATATATATATATAAGCCAGATGTGTACATTAAATGCACTTATAAATATTTACTGGTAAATGTATAAAATATGTGAAAAGAACCTAGTGCTAAATTTTGTTCCTGTTCTAGTTAGATTACCTCAAAAATGTGTTATATTAATTTTCCTTAACATTTAATGAAATATTAGCTGTTTATTTATTTTAATATATTCATATGATTTTTAATATAGAACATTTTGAGTAATCTAGATTTAAAATGTTATTTTTTGTTTCTAGTTTTAAATGATACTTAAATACGGATTAGTTTAAGTTAAACATAAAGTGAATCCTATATAGGTGCCAGTATCAACGTGAAAAAGCACACTTTATCTATGTGTAATTTAGAGATGAAATAATATTTTTGTGGAAGTGAGCAGTTAATTTTATAACAGACATTCCTGTTTAATTTTAACTTTTATGATTTACATAAAAATTGATTGATAGGAAGCATTATTCAAGTCAATTATTACCATTCTTACGTGATGTTTGAAAACTTTAGTCATAACCAAAGAAACTCTTGATCAAAACTAGATATTGTTTTGAACTTCATTTTCAAGAATGTGTTTTGTCATTTTAAAATCTCTACCATGTTTACTGTCCAGAGGTTATATATTATTATTTTATGTTATTATTAGATTCTGTTACTTATTGAACTATTTAGAATTATATTTTGTAAGTTAGAAAATGGATAAACTAAATGCATAGATAAATTGTATTTGAAAAAAGTTAATATATATGTGACAAATCGAAAATGTAAGCATTGCTTTGTATTATAAATCAGCATTTTTTATATACAATTTTATAGTAATACCAAGCACTTAAATGTTAGCAGTACTTATTTTAATCCTATAATTTTTGTTGAAATTATTGAACATGAGAATATAAAATCTAAAACTTAATTGCGACTCAAAATCACATATGAGTTTTAAATAGCCATCTAAAATCTACTGTACTATTCAATGCAAATTTAAGACCTGCAAATATAAACAATGTAAATGTTTTTGAAAGGCGTGTGTGTTTGTTGTAAGTATACCTAAGTAATGCAGCTGTAAATTATACATATATTTAAGTGTTTATGTATTTTTGTAGGTAAAATTTTAAGCAAAAAATATTGCATCATGATATGTTATATATTTAATGTACACAACCCAAAATGTGCAATTATTTGAGAAGGTTTTCTGAAAATACAATAGATTAAAATAGACATTTTGATATCATATAATAATTCTGAAAAATATATCTAATGAATTTCTTTGTGAGAAAATGCGGCGTTGTGAAAACTTAATCTTAATTGTATTGTAAAAAAGACATTGAAAGTGTTTTTTTTTATATAGACAAAAAGAACTGTGCATAAAGACATGTTCAAGGACTGTGTAAAATATTTCTTTTCGTCTGTATGGAATTATTAATATTGTTGCTAAAGTTAATATTATATGAATATGTAATAAAGTTATTTTGGAAGTAACATGATATTTTATATAATATAAAATTATAAAATTTATATATTAAATCCAGGAACGTCGGGGCCTACAAAATGCTGTGTTCAGCAGACCAATAAATTGCGTATATATTGTTTATATGTTCCAGGTTTTATCAATCTTATTGAACTCAAATATTTAGCCCATGAAATTGAAGATAACAAAATTAGTGCAGGCCAAGGATTCCACAAAACAAGGGTAAAGATTGACAAAAATCTATTTGATTCTCATAATAATCTTAATATTTAGATTTTGGAAAGCATTAGCTATTATTTTATAAATTATTGGAACTTTCTGCTTTCAATATTATTTTTTTTTTTTAATATTTTCTTTAATTCTATAATATTTGCATATTTTTTCAATTTGATGTATATTTTATATTTTTTATTTATGACAGGTTATTTAATGGAAAACCGTTTATGAAGCCTTTGAATTGTTGGGACCGAATTGATCATCGAACCTTCGAGAGAGAAATTAATTCAATTGATTTTTAGTTAGGCGCCAAAAGTGGTATGCATACTTTTTTTTGAAACTGGGTATTCATAAGTTCATTTTTTATTCATATTATTGTTTTTATTGAGACCTTGATCCTGGTGAGGATCAGTTGGTTTAATTAGGCGATAAAACTTATCTTTATTTTGTGTGATATAATCATACCTTACATGTTATTACTCCTTACCTTCTTGGCTTTAGACTCTATATCTACACTTATTATAATTATTTTTTATATAGCGGAGGAGATACTTTTTTCAATATTTAACTTAAGTTTGACTGACTGGATAATAACAAAACCACCGGTTTTTTGCGGTTACTTGCATTACTTCTTCGGGATGGTAGGAGGATATAGAAGATATGTGTTACTCTTTCGGTACAAATTTTCTATTCAACGCCTTATATGTGTCATCATGTTGTGCACTAAAACGTGGACACTCGAACAAAACATATCCAGCATCTTTTTTGTATCCTGAACGTCGTACCGGAAGTGGTATTGGTTTGCTCGAAATTATATGCATACACTACTAATAATAATCTGCAGGTATTTATATATAAGAATTTTCCTGATAACCTCGCTTTTGGTTACAGAAGAGACTAGTCAAATCTTAACAACTTTTTATTATATATTATATTATGATGATATATTTCTCTATAAATCTATTATTCAATTTTCATAATACATCTTCTCATTTTCTGCGAAATCGTTACTTATCTGGGTATTTTTTACCAAATTCTTAACAGTACATCATTGAAACTTTATGGAAGCTCATTTTTGTTTTAAATTAGGGTATGCTATTTGTAGATTAATTTAAGCTATTTCAGATCAATTGTTATTTATTTTGCTATAAGTGTAAATATTAAAACACGATTGTTTGAGTCAATGCGTTGATAGTGTGCGCAGAGAGATAACTTTCTCCAATCTTCGAAGAAAGTGTGCGTGCATACTCTCTTCCAAGTGCGCTACTCAAGTATTCGACATGCTAATATCCTCGCAAAAATCGACAATGGGTTTATTATAAAAGTACAAGTCATTAAAATATATTATTTATATGCTTACATGAAAGCGATTCACCGTAAAATTGTAAGTTTAAACATTTTTGTTTTATTTGATTGAGTGTGCTTTTGAATACATATGATAATAATTTAATGCAGAGTAATATTTTTTGGTAGGAAATATTGATATTTCCAGGAATATTTTTTTAGTAGTCCATGCGCTGTTTAAAATTAAAAAAAAAATCCAATATTATCAATTTTGTATATTTAGTGATTTTAATGACAATGTGATCAAATCAAATTTCCATTAAATTTCCATCTTGAGTTCCAGTTCATGTAAATTATACATATAGCAAATATATTATTTTGATTATGGCGAAACATAATAAGATACAGATATTTACGACTAATATTATGTTTATTCGGCATTTCAAGTTACTGGCATGAATTTTGTATCTAAAAAGACGAGAAAATTAAAATAAGTTAAAGAAGTATGTGCAATTAATAAAAATAAAATAGTTTATAAAATCTAATAACTTAACTTGTTTATTACGTTTGTTAAAACAATCTTATCACCTTCGTTTTTGTAAAAAAAATATAATTCAGAAGTCGCTCAAAATCGTTTAGATAAAAACGTCTCGAAATATTTTTGTTAAGTTACTCAAAATATTTTTTTTAATTATCTGTTATAAGATTAATTTTTTAATTTACCTCAAATTTAGGTTTCCAAGTTTGTTTGGAAATTTTAGATTCGAAGTGCGTAATTATGAATGACAATGAGTAACATTTCGTTTTATTTCTTCGTAATTACCTGATGTATTTATTGATAGTATTTATATTGTACGATTTTAAAATATGAAAATTTCTTAATAGCACATGAGCATTGAAAATTATAAATAGATTTTTCTTTTCTTCTTCTTTTTTTAACTTTTTTAATTACAATCTATCACACTTAGAATATTCAGTAATTGTTTTAACTTTATTATATGGATTTTTGAATGGATGGCAACCCAGTAGTTGTCCAATCCAATTATGACTAATTCACTATACTTGAAGTTTTTGCTCACAGAATAATTTTTTTTTATTATTAAAAGTTAAAACTAGCATTAGGAAAATCACAAAAAAGTCTATTTGGTAAACCTCAATTCTTGTCGATGAACTTGATTGTTTACATATTATATTTACATAATGCAACTGGTCTTAAAAGGTGAGATACTTACTTTCATTTCGGTTAGAAGATCATGTATATCTATTTTTATATTATTATAGCGTTCATTTATTTATAAATTTTTTTGATAATATTTGTTTAACATTTTGAAATATTTCGTAATACATCGATTTATTAGTAATAAAAATCTCTGCGAAAGTTTTTATTGAATCAAAATCTATAAAACCACTATTATACGAGATAAGAACATGGTTTATCGATAACACAACGAACTATGAAAGTTATATTTTATAACTGTATTAAAAAATTCAATCATATATCTGATATGTTAAATATTGTAAATGACTTTCATGTAATTTGTGAAAATTCTGGTTAAGTAATATAACATTTTAATAGTTATATGTTCATTTCTAATATTCAATGGTTGTCAATCTCTGTGAAGAAAACTCGATCTGTATCTTCAGGTTTAATTAGAATTTTCGTTTTCATATAATTATATATTAAAATTTTCAAAATTTTAAATATAACCGAAATATTTAACTACATCAAACACCACGTGCTTTTAATTTCACAGCGCTCACATGTTTGTTCACCTTTTCGTATATAATCGATAAAACGATGGGCACGCATGCGCTACCAAATCACTTCAAAGACGTACTAGATTTTTTTTAATTAAATGTTAAAAAAATTTAAATTATTAACATGCAATATATTTTTTCATCTTTTCAATTCACGGACTCATGTGGACGCGAATGCAAGTTCGAACCCCATTATAGACAACTTGACATCGTGCAGCAGCGATTGCCATTTTCACTTGAAAATATGGATCAAAAACACAGATCATAAATTTCCAATTTGTATTTGGGAAATTAATCCCTCAATTAAGTTGGAGTTCAGCTCACGGACCTGCCCTAGGGCAGTGTTATCCATTATTTTATATTTTTAAATATAATTATAATTTATGCTGTTATTATTATAAACAAAAGTCTCAGTCAATGTTTTATTTTGAGCTAAATAAATGGGTTAAATAGAATTATCTACGGATTTGTCACTCAATTGATATTATTTACTTCCCCCAAAAATTGAAAATGAAAATTTTTGCTTACCTTCACGTTTCAGGGTTTCTGAACATTTTGCCATACCTCAGAAAAAATGGATGTGTGTGTGATTAACCGATTTGACTGGTTCAAAAAACATTCGATTCCTCTTGATATGGAGATATGCTGATTAGTTTTTGGCAAAGGCAGGTCCAGTCATTACGGAGATTCGGAGCAAAGAGTGCATAAAATACAAATCGAGTATCCATAGTAAGAACGGAGTATCCGATTTGAATGATTCAAAAACATTCAATTTGTAATGATTGAGAGAAGTGGTGATTAGCTTATGGCAAAGGCAGGTCCAGCCATTGCGAAGATACGAAGCTAAATGTACAAAGAATGGCAGTAAGTAAGTGTTCGATTTGAATGATCCAAAAAACTTTTTGCTTGTGTTGATAATACAATTGCTTTCGGAAAAATTATTACATTTTTTTTTTCAAAATTTTTTTGTATATCGAAAAAAATTCAGATTTTAATTTAATTCTGGGTAAAGTTCTAAAGCTCGCTTATATACTTTAAATAAATAATTTCAACTTTGTAATTTAGTTTATATAGTTCTTACAAATATTACACAATGATACAGTATTTATAATAATCTATTTGAAAACACTTAATATTTCTTAATACTATTAATGATACTAATTAATACTATTTTGATAATCAAACTGCTGAATATTACAATTTACAATATGTTTCACAAACAAATGAGCGTTATATAAAAGTATACATGTAAATATATTAATTGACGTCTCATGTAAAAACACGAGTTTTCGAAACATAAAAATCAACTTTTTAGTATATTATTTCACTTCATATCAAAAAACTTTTGAACAGTATTTGAAATAAAAAAAATCCATTTAATTGTGTATATGTGGATCAAGTACTAGAGTATTTTAATAAACTACAAATTGTATTATTATGATGCAGCAATTCTTTATTACACTAAAACTAATTACATCTGACTTTCTTCTTCTACGCCATTGAGCTATTTATGGGAGAGAGAGCATTTCTCGTCGAGTACACACATTCAAACTTCTACAAATACATTTAAATGAATTCGTATGGTAGGGATCATGTACACATATACATATTCATATGTACATACACTAAAATACGAACTCTCTTTTTGTGACTTGCGCATTTCGGATTTCCTTATCAAAAGATATTCCTAGTGATGCATTTGAACGAATAGCACCTGAATATCACAATTGTAAAAAAAATAACGCGATATTTGTAAATTTATTCGTGCGTGATAAAAAATCTATGATAAAAACGTATGTATTGTGAGATAATAAAAAATAAAAAAACGTGTGTAATTTTTAATGAGTTTATGCAAAGTGATGTTTTGAGTTTATTTCATAGGTTATTTTTAATACTTAATAACAAAATCTTGTTTTAGGTACATGCGAGTGGTGTAACTTTTATTGCACAATATTTATTATAAATTATAATTAGAAGGTGAGTTTAAATTTTTGATTATTTTCTCCAGCCACTTCTACATTTGAATTTAGTCATTTCTTTCATAACTTTATATTATCTAGTTTATATTATTCATATTGTACGTTATATTTTGAATTCCAATCATGGTGTTTGATTTTTTTGTTTATTTTTCTTACACATTTTTTCTTACATATTATTTTGATTTTTTGCAGATAATTAGACTAAATCAAGGATGTTTACCGCTTTAGAAAAAACAGGATTAATATGTTTATCTATCCTTGGATATAAGTTAGCAAAAACCGTAGTGCCATGGATTTATTGCAACTTTTTAGGACCAATGCTGAAACCAAAAATTAATTTTAAATCTATGGGAAAATGGGCCGGTATGTAAAGATATAATATATATTATATATATATATATATATATATATTTATAATTTATATATATATATATATATATATATTATTTTGATTATCGACAGTTTACTTTTTTGTATAAAAATGTAAAATAAGGACTATTTATGATTGTTTATGATAGCCAACTATCCTAATATTTTTAGTTTAATTTCATTTTATTATAAGAAATACTTTTTACGCTAGGCTATTATCAATATCTAATAAGTGAATAATTATTATTCATATATTAAATAATTATTGAAAAAAATTATGTTTTAAATATAAGTGAAGTTAAATTTAAGTGAAATTCAAGTTGATATTTAGTTTTTAAATTTAAATATAGCACTTTCACCTCTCTAAATAAAATTTTCGTTGATAAAATATATTAAACTTTGTATCAGCTTTATTCCTAAAGAATAGATATCAAATTGATCATAAAATTTAATAACTTCATTTGATGTTCAATTCAGTTATGAGGTTGTTCAGAATTTTGTTAAAGAAACTTTTCTAGTAAATTTTTTGAGTATTTTATCTGTTTTAGATTTATATGAAGGTTTCGAAAAAAAAAATTAAATGTCTTGTGTGAAAGAAATTACAAATTTTTGCTTTTAATCTTGATACAGAGTAGATATTTTTGATTATTAAAGTGAAATTTTCATCATTATGAGGCGAATTATTACTCACATACATACAATATTTTGGTTATTTTATCAATTAACAATTGCTTCAATGTATTACAATTTTTGCGATGACATTTTCTTACATCAAAATTTACAACTAAAATATTGATGAAAATGAAAATAAGTTAATATTGATTTAACTGATTTTCTGTAAGCTAAGCTATTGTAAACTTTACATATAATCTTCTATATATATAAAAATAAGTCGGGTTTTCCTTCCTGACGAAATAACTCCAGAACGCACGAACCGATTTCGACAATTTTGCATTCGTTGCAAAGGTCTCGGGCTCTGCAAGGTTTATAGCTAAGAAAATTAGTGGTGCATCGCATCGTGCCCTAATGCAAATTGCAGGAACTTCACGCACCGTAATTAAAAATTCGAGTAATGACATTAGTGAGAATTATCAGAATTATGCTTGGTTAAGTCAACGAGCAATTCTTGCCGCAAAGAATAATGATGTACACGCATTGAATTTCACCATTCAATCAAAAATTGCTGTCGATTTGGTGACATACCAATGATTCCGACTGGTCTTCCGTTTGACTTCAAACGATTGCAATTTCCAGTTCGCCTTGCGTTTGCAATAACAAGTCGCAAGGCCAATCGCTTAGTGTTTGCGGGATAAATTTCAAATAGATTATTTAGAAAATCATTGTTTTTCACATGGGCAGATTTACGTTGCCTGTTCACGAGTTGGAAAACCATTCGCTTTGTTTTTGTTAACGTCAGACCAAAAAACAAAAAATGTGATTTACCAAAGAGCACTTCAATGAAACGGATAATTTGCGGATTCACTTTTATTTACTTAGAGAAGTTCAACTAAAAAACACTTCATTTTTGTAATCGAAATAAATTCTTTACTGTTGTATAATAAAATCATTTTTTTCCTTTTCAAATATAAAACAAACAAAAAATTTCTTCATCTTTCTCACGAAACCATCTGGTGGCGAAACGAAGTTCGTCGAGTTTGCTAGTCATTTATAAATATGATCCACTATTTTTTGCAAATGGTGAAAAATGAAATTTTAGTAGACTGTTAAGGGTCAAGTCAGTTTAGAAGATATACAATTGTATTAGAAGAAAAAGTACGTACATTGAAAAACTCTAAACATTAAAAATTTTTGATTGAAATTATATATTCAAGGGATTAAAAATTCATCGTTGGAAAAAAACATTTAATTTATAATGATTGGGAGAAGTGGTGATTAGTTTTTGTCAAAGGCAGATCCAGCCATTTCAAAGATGCAGAGCTAAATGTGCAAAAAATCGCAGTATTTGAGAGAAATGAGCGTCCGATTTGAATGATTCAAAAAACTTTCTGCTTGTTTCAACAAAATAATTGCTTTTGGAGAATAATTTTTGTTTCATTTTTTTTTTTTTTTTTTGTATATTGAAAATAATTCAGATTTTAATTTCAATTCTGAATAAAGTTCTAACATACTTGAAACAAATAATTTCAACTTTGCAATTCAGTTTATATAATTATTATAAATATTAGACAATGTTACAATATTTATAATAATCTATTTGAAAACATTTAATATTCCTCGAACATTCGTTACTGTACGGAAAGTTCCAGCAATTTGCCTTAAGGCACGATGCCATACACCACTAATTAGATTTTAAAATTCAAAACTAATTACAGATAGTGTACATATAAATAAAAATTTATTATAATTTGATTTTCTTATTCTATTGATCAATTGTTTCATGATTTATTTTATATCATTTATTATTTTATTGCCTCTACAATTATTTCAATCTAGCTTATATAATTGAAACCAAATTACCTAATAGTGTTTTAATACTAAACTTTTTCTTAAATCGATTTAAATAATTATCGAAAGCAATGTCGAGGTCAAGCGCGGTCATTTGTGTCTCAAAAATTTACAGAGAACGAAAGTGATATAACAGAAGTGAAAGTATAATATTTCTAGTTTTTATCAAAACCAGTTTTTTTATTATATTAGAACATCGTCTTGTCAACGATATTTCGTAGACAGTGGTCTCATAGATTACAAATTTAAATTAATTTATAAGGTCAGTACAGGTATGAATGTATAATATATACTATTGTTCCATATGAGACAGTTCAAAGTTCTATTTATAATTACAACGAAATGCTTCGGTAAGCTATTCGAATTTGTCCTATATTTACGAATATAGAAGCATGTATTTATTCTTGTGTTTTATCTATTTGTTCGGCTATCAATGTAACATTTATAGTAATACATTATTCAGCATTACAAGAAGTTAACATTTAGCATTAGTTAACATATTTTATCTTTCGAATAAGTGGAACATTTTGTGTTTGATTCGAAACCAAATTATTTATTTTATTATATTTTGTTTTTACTTTTTTGTTGGAAAATTTTAGTATGTATAATAGGGTAGTCCTTAATATGGGCATTTTTGAATTTCCTTGCTCCTAAGGGCTCAAATGGTTCGAAATTGATAAAAAACAATTCTCTGAAAGTTTTAGAGCTGGAGCGCAATTCAATCAAAGCTTTGTGTATGGAAATAGCATGAAAAATTTTTCAAAAATTTTGCAGAGCGTCGAATTTTCAATAAATAATGACACGAATTTTCACTTTTAATTCATTTGTTGCTAAGTTATACCTAAAAAAATTTTTTTTTAATTTTCAAAATTTTTTTCATGCTATTTCCATACAAAGTTCGATTGAATTGGGCACTACCTAAAAGTTAATATTAAGAGCTAAAACTTTCAGAGAATTGTTTTTTATTAAATTGGAACCATTTGAGCTCTTGCAAGCAAGGAAAATGGCAATATTAAGGACCACCCTAATGTATAATTTTTCCAACATTGCTAATGCTTGGTGAAATTTTGTTGCCATGAATTTTATGTCTCTACAATTATGCCTTCATAAATAGCGAATACTTTCTAATATTTTATTGCATTTTACATAATTATTATATATGAATATATGTAAATGGATGTATGTCTGTGTGTGTGCCTCAATCGACGTGAAAATTTGGACAGTTTTCTGCATATTTTGATTGATAGGTATTGGCGACTACGAAGATTTTCTTTTAAATTTTTTGGTCAATTTTTATTCTTTTATAATACATATGAAAAATACATATAATCCTTAATTTGCACCGTCTTACCACAAACATCTAATTGGTAAGAATTATAGTAATTACGTCATTTTTTATCTCGATTTCTGTCAGTTTCTGACTGAACTTCGATTGAGATATTTTAAAATGAAATGAAAAATCTTTATTTTACATAAAAAATTATTTTAATTAGGATTGTATAACTCTAACACTTATTTTTTAATGTACTGTATTAATTTTCTTTCTTTAACGCGATTGATTAAAAAATACTTTCAATCCCCAATATTCACCTTCCTTCCACACTTTCCAATTTTATTAACCTTATTTTATTATTATTATTATATTGTTATCATCTTATTATTTCTAATATTGTTATTCTTTTATATTTATTATTATCTTTCACTTATTGTTTGTATTCTACTTTATTGTTTTTCTAGTATTATTTTTATTATTCAGAAATTTTATTTATTTTACTTATTAATTTTATTATTATTATTATTTACTTTTATTTTATATTAAATCAGTATGTTGATCGGGTATCATTTTGTTAAAAATTCTATCCTTTATTTTGTGCTCATTTTAATAAATTTATATAATTGTTCATTACTGTTACTAGATGTTAATTATTTAGCAGTTGTAACAAATATAGTAATTAAAAAAAATAATCTTATTTAAAAGTCTTATTAGATATTAAAGACACTTGATTAATTCTGCTAATGTTTTATGTTTTCTTAAAAATATGTATTCATGATTATCATAGCAATATTCGACAATGTTACAGCATTTATAGTAATGTATTTGAAAACATTTAATATTCCTGAAACATCCAAATGTTGATGTTCATTATTATGAAGAAAAGAAAACTACATCTAAACGATAGAAAATTACAACTTGCTACAGAATAAATGTGAGAACTTTCTTTGATTTATTACTATAATAAAGAAATGCTCGGAAAGTGCATTAAGATTGTTATTATAATTATTTTTTTTAAATTATTATAATTAAAACCTTGATTTTATTCCAGTTGTCACCGGTGCTACCGATGGTGTTGGCAAAGCATACGCTATGGCAGTAAGTAGTTTAATTTTGAATATTATTTATATAAATTAAATATTTTTTTTATATATTTTTTTAAAATATTTCAGTTAGCCAAAGAAGGAATGGATATAGTACTTATAAGCAGAACTATGTCGAAGTTGGAGAGCGTTGCCAAAGAAATAGGTAACACACATTTGAGGAAACTTTTTTTTTTATTTTGTTGATAAAATATTTTCATATCACTGTCTGACAGGGATGTCTGGTATGAGAAATTATGAAACAATTGGAAATGAATGTACCAAATTTTAAGACACAACAATAAAATCAAAATCACTTCACTTAAATCCAATAAGATAATAAAATATATGCAAAGTAATATTATGCGATATTTTTCATCGAACTGCCTTTAGGGCAATTTGATTTGTTATTCTTGGAGCAATTAGCTTCAATACTGGTGAGGATCACTGTGATTAATTTGATCTTAAGTGGACTGTTAATTATAAATATTTCATCACCATAAGATATGTGAATAAAACCACTATTTAGTTTATTATATATATATTGATCTTCACTCTATAACCTTCTTCTCTCGTTACCTTTGCTACTCTCCTTCATTATTATAAGTTACAGGTATTTATACTCATACAATTGTATCCCCTACCCCGAAGGTTTCCAGGTTAAATAGAAAAAGCCCTGGTCAAATCTTGACCAAATACCATTCCCAATTTTCCATTTTTTAGTTAATTTATTCTCAAATGCATTTGTTGTATTTCAAAATATTGTGATCATGCGAAGTTTATTTTACGAGATGCATCAAAATATGTGTTAAAAGTTTAATAGTTTTAAAATATCTAACCTTTTCCTAATTACTTCCATTTAAAAGAGACTGCAACAAATGTTCAAACTAAAGTGATACAAGCAGATTTTACTGGAGGATCAGAAATATTCGATTCCATTGAAAAGCAGTTACTCGGTTTAGAAATCGGTGTTTTGATAAACAATGTTGGAATGAGCTACCCATATCCTGAATATTTTCTGAATATTAAAGACGGGTAAGTGATTATGTATTCGCATTTTATCATAAACCGAATAAAAGCATGCATTATTAAATAATGGTTTTTATAATTTTTATTTTTGCAGAGGAAAATTGTTTACGGATATTGTACACTGTAATGTGCATTCTGTGACTGGAATGTGTCGGGTAGTAATGCCCGCAATGGTCGAGAGAAAGAAGGGAGTTGTTATTAATATTTCGTCAACTGCTGCCTTAATTCCCAGTCCGATGTTGGCCGTTTATGCTGCTTCTAAGGTGATAAACTAATGTTTCATTATTGCATAAATACAGGTAACCCCCGTATAACACGGTACTTACGTTCCAAAAAACTAGCATGTTATGCGAATCCGTGGTATACGGGGCAAAGAACTTGTTCAAAAAAGGGGTTACGTTCCTAGAACTTTAAAACACATGCTACATATCATAATTTTATAATAAATATTGTGATGTTTATTATTTTTCAAGAAGTAATATACATTATATGAATTATGATTTTTTTGTCATAATTAACAAGTAAGTGCTCTTGATCCTTTTTTTTTTGCAAGATATCTTCATCCTCTGACCAGTTTTCTATACTACCTTCAGATCCGTGCATTATTTTTTGCAAAAAAATATATTCGCAATTACTTGCTTTTAGCAAAATGATCTTTATATATTTAACAAATGCAAAGTTATCTTTATTAAACTTTCATGCTCATTTTATTTAAAAAATCTTTGTTTCAGAAATAAGAAAACATTGTTCGGATAATCCTAGAATTTCTTTCGATAGTACGTACGAGTAATAAATATGAAATTAGTTATCTTTGCACTAGTATAGCGATTTTACTAAATTTATATTAGATAAAGTTTGATTTTCATAGGTTTTACTATATTTTTTATTTTATTATGGCATTGATCAATTCCCAAATACTGTTACAGCATATCCGTGCTTTAAATGTACCGTATTATGAGGGGGATGGTCTCAATTCTTAAATCGTGTTAGAGGGAATTCGCGTTATAGAACTACCGTGTTATTCGGGCGTTAACTGTAATACTTATTTTTGTTATATTTCATTTTTTATGTTAGAATGAGTACATTGAAATCAATTCTAATCAGGTTCTAACTTGCTCCTAATCTAGGGCCTAGCTCCATAATAAAAAGTTTTTTTTACAAAATATAAAAATACATAGATTTAAAAGAATATTTATTTATCTACCTATTTTTTTCTAATTTTCTGATTTTGTTAACAAATGATTCCATATATATATTTACTTTCCTTGCATTTTTTCGTAAAACTTAATTATTAGATAATAGGTTATAGATTTTCTAAAGTTTCTGTATTTAGGTCTGGTAGACGTTTCTAAAGTTTTCGCGTAATTTTTTAATTTCGAAAAATTTCTTTTTGG